CACGTGCCACGCCGAGTGGCGTGTTAGGGGACGTGCCAGTGCACGTCACGCCAGAACGTCGCAGGGGACGCGCCACGTGACGTGCCAGCATTCGCTCCGACGCACTCTATGGCGACAAGCGTTTCGCTCGAGATCGTTTCAACACATCCTCATGCTAGACATCCGCCTGTGTGAATTGGACACGTGAAAACAAGCGTCTCGTTCGAGACGTCCTCAACACATCCTCATGCTAGACATCCACCTGGGTGATTTGGACACGTGAAACCAAGCGCCTCGGTCGAGACGTCCTAAACACCTCCTCCTACTAGACATTTGTATGGGCAGCCTGGACGCGTGAAAATAAGCGTCTCGCTCGAGACATCCTGCCCAAACACTCCTGCTAGACATCCGCCTGGGCGACCTGGACAGGTGAGCACAAACGTTTCGTTCAACATATTCTCAAAACATCCTCATGTTAGACATCCGCCTGGGCGACCTGGACACGTGAAAACAAGCGGTTCGTTCGACCCGTCTTGCCTACACACTCATGCTAGACATCCGCCTGGGCGACCTGGACACGTGAAAACAAGGTTTCGCTCAACACATTCGCAACACAGCCTCATGTTAGACATCAGCTTGGGCGACCTGGACGCGTGAAACCATGCGTTTGCTCGAGACATCCAACACATCCTCATGTCAGACATCCGTTTGGGTGACCTGGACACGTGAAAACAAGCATTTCGCTCGAGACGTTCTCAACATTTCATCATGCTGGGCATCAGCCTGGGCGGCCTGGACACATGAAACCAAGCGTTTGCTCGAGTCGTTTCCAACACATCCTCATGCGAGGCATCCGCCTGGGCGATCTGGACGCTTGAAAACAGGCGTTTCGCTCGAGACGCTCTCAACATCTCCTCATGCTAGACATCCGCCTGGGTATTTGGACACTTGAAAACAAGCGTCTCGTTCGAGACGTCCTCAACACATGCTCATGCCTGACATCTGCCTGGGCGACCTGGACGCGTGAAACCAGCGTCCCGCTCGAGACGTTCTAACCACCTCCTCATACTAGACATTTGCATGGGCAACCTGGACGCGTGAAGCCAAGCGTCTCGCTCGAGACATGCTCAAGACCTGGGCACGTGAAAACAAGCCTTTTACCAGAAACATCCTCTGCATTCTGATCCCCAGGAGAGGAATGATCTATAACACTAAACAAGCGTTTCGCTCGAGACACCCTCAACACATTCTGCAACACAAGCGTTTCGCCCAAGACATCCGCAACAAGCGAACGTGTGTACTTTACCATGTGTTCCATCGATCGGTATTATGAAAACCAGCGTTTTGCCTGAGACATTCTCAGAATCTGACTTCGCCGGCTTTACGCGACCTTGTTATTATCGCAAAGTGGTTTCGCCGGCCCTACGGAAGTCGAGGCCGGGGGGGGAACAGCTAAAAGAGATCCTTGGGCCCGCGCCCTTTCTGGGAACATGATCGACCCACGAACCCGGAAAGGAATATAGAAATGTAAGGCATTGTGGTGTTTCAAAGACACCTGATTGGGAGACGGGCAAATGCAATGTTGAATGTATCGATCTTGATGTACCGTGCCGACGGCTGTGCATTGCTGCGCCGTGCTCAATTGCGATGTGCCATGCCGCGAGTGTGCTCTATAGCGTTGTGGATCGAGTCCTCCTTTGCATCCGAGTCCTGACCGAACTGATCTGGATCTTATGCTCGAGCTGCCTGAGCAGATAGTAGCTGCCCCAGAGCTAATTGGTAGGGGGACATGCCAGGAGGACGCGCCGCGGAACGTCCCAAGGGACGCGCCAAGCGAGGTGCCAAGGGACATGCCATGGAACGCACCGCGGGACCTGCCAAGGGGACGCGCTACGGAACGTGCCAATGGACGTGCCACGGGACGTGCCAAGGGACGCGCCGCGCGATGTGCAAGGGGACTCGCTACGGGACGCGCCACGGAACGTGCCAAGTTGCAATGCTGAGTGCATCGATATGGATGTTCCGTGCCGAGGGCTGTGTTGTGTTGCGCCGTGCTGAACTGCGATGTGCCATGCCGCGATTATACTCTATCTAACGTTGTGGATCGAGTCCTCCTTCGCATTCGAATCCTGACCGAACTGATCTGGATCTTAAGCTCGAGCTGCCTGAGCAGATAGTAGCTGCCCCAGAACGAATCTACAGAGGGGACATGTCAGGAGGACGCGCCGCGGAACGTCCCAAGGGACGCGCCAGGCGACGTGCCAGGGGACGTGCCATGGGCACGCACCGCGGGACCTGCCAAGGGGACGCGCTACGGAACGTGCCAATGGACATGCCAGGAGGACGCGCCGCGGAACGTCCCAAGGGACGCGCCAGGCGACGTGCCAGGGGACGTGCCATGGGCATGCACCGCGGGACGTGCCAAGGGGACGCGCTACGGAACGTGCCAATAGACGTGCCGCGGGACGTGCCAGGGGATGCGCCGCGCGACGTGCCAGGGGCACTCGCCACGGAACGCGCAAAGGAACGTGCCAAGGTGCAATGTTGAGTGTATCGATTTTGATGTACCGTGCCGACGGCTGTGCTGTGCTGGGCCGTGCTGAAATGCGATGTGCCATGTTGCGAGTGTGCTCTATATAGCGTTGTGGATCGGGTCCTCTTTGCATCCGAGTCCTAACCGAACTGATCTGGATCTTAAGCTCGTGCTGCCTGAGCAGATGGTAGCTGCCCCAGAACTAATCGACAGGAAGATCTGCTAGGAGGACGCGCCGCGGAACGTCCCAAGGGACGCGCCAGACGACGTGCCAGGGGACGTGCCATGGGCACGCACCGCGGGACCTGCCAAGGGGACGCGCTACGGAACGTGCCAATGGACGTGCACCGCGCGACGTGCCAGGGGGACTCGCCACGGGACGCTCCGCGGAACGTGCCAGGCAACATGCCAGGCTGCAATGCTAAGGGTATCGATATTGATGTAACCAGCCGAGGGCTGTGCTGTGCCTGGGCGACCTGGACACTCGAAGACACGCGGTTCGCTCAAGACGTTCTCAGCACATCCTCATGTTAGACATCCGCCTGGGCAACCTGTACACGTGCAAACAATCGTCTCGATCGAGACTTCCTCGACACATCCACATGTTAGACATCCGCCTGGGTGATCTGGACACGTGAAAACAAGTCTCTGGTTTGAGATATCCTCAACAAATCCTCATGCTAGACATCTGTTTGGGCAACCTGGAGGCGTGAAACCAAGCGTCTCGCTCGAGACGTCGTCAAGACCTGGGCATGTGAAAACAAGCATTTCACTATATCGCAAAACAAGCGTTTCGCTCGAGAAATCCTCAACAGATTCTGAAAACAAGCGCTTCGCTCGATGTCATTCCGCTGGCCTCCTTCAAACTGTCATTTACCGCAAAATAATCCAACCGGTCCCTTCAAGTCGAAACCAGAGGTACAGCACTAAAAGAGAACCTTGGGCCGACGCCCTTTTCAGGGAAAACTTTCGAAACGCAATGACGACGACGCCCCGTCGTCGTCGTCGTCCTCCTCCTCCTCCTTCTTCTCCTCCACCTCCTCCTCCTCCTCATCCTCCTTCTCCCCCTCTTCCTCCTCCCCCTCCCCCTATTCCTCTTCATCTTCCTCTTCCTCTTCTTCCTCTTCCTGCTCTTCCCCCTCCTCCTCCTCCTCCTCCTCCTCCTCCTCCTCCTCCTCCTCCTCCGTCTCCTCCTCCTCCTCCTCTTCCTCTTTCTCCTCCTCTTCCTCCCCCTCCTCTTCCTCTTCCTCCTCCCCCTCCTTTTCCTCTTCGTCCTACTCCTCATCCTCCCTCTCCTCCTCCACCTCCGCCCAAGCGGCCCTCGCCAAGGTGGCAGGCCTATACGGTGATGGTCTTTCAAGGGGGCGCTCTCTTCAAGTGGACAACGATGGCGTACAGGGGCTCACGAGGAGGGCATTCGGGATAGGGGGGGGGGGTCTTGCAGCATCGCTGCTGCATCTTCGGTTTCCTCCTGCCCTCTACCGCCTCCCCCCTCCCTACCTCCCTGTCATGGAGTGCGCACGCGCGAAGCCCCTCGGCGATGAACAAACCTTCCCTCCCTCCCACCTCCTCCTCCTCCTCCTCCTTCTCCTCCTCCTCCACTTCCTCTAGCGGCGAAGAGCTCTGGGTCTGACATTACACGTATTCGTCCTCCTCCTCCTCCCCTTCCCCTCCTCCTCCTCCTCCTGCTCCTCCTCCTCCTCCTCCTCCTCCTCCTCCTGTTCCTCCTCCTCCTCCTCCTCCTCCTCCTTGTTGTCCTCCTCCTCCTCCTCCTCCTCCTCCTCCTCCTCCTCCTCCTCCTCCTCCTCCCCCTCCCCCCCCTCCCCCTCCTCCTCCTCCTCGTTCCTCCTCCTCCTCTCCTCGTTCCTTCCTCCTCCTCCTCCTCCTCCTCATCCTCCTTCTCCTCCTCCTCCTCCTGCTCCTCCTGCTCCTCCCCCCTCCTCGTCCTCCTCGTCCTCCTTCTCCTCGTCCTCCTCCTCCTCCTCCTCCCCCTCCTCCTCCCTCCCTCCTCCTCCTCCTCCTCCTCCTCCTCCTCCTCCTCCTCCTCCTCCCCCTCCTTCTCCTCGTTCCTCCCCTCCGTAGCCATTTTGGCTCAAGATGCCAGGTTCCCTTGGGGCCAAAACGGATACCGCTAGTCCGCGGCCAGACTACGTTGTTCCGCGCCTTCACTGCAGGAGTTGGGCGCCTGCTCTTCCAGTCTCTCCCGCGCTGCTCTCGCCATGGTCCCCCCGCCTTGGCGCACTGAGGATGGCTGGACCAGCGTCGGCGGAGGAAAGAAGGGGAAGAAGTTCCAGTCGTACACGTACTGCACGTGCGGGCATTGGACGTACGATCGTTTGTTGGCTCGCCGCGGCTTCTGCGTGGGTTGCGGCACGGCCATGCGACCTAATGATGGTGGGAAGGGTGTTGCAGGAGGGGGCAACGGAGCTCCCAGCGGCGGCGGCGGCGGCGCGTCTGGTGTGGACCCCGCGGCAGTGGCAGCGGCCAGGAAGGCGGCCGCACTGCTGCCCCCCGCCGCCGCAGCCGAGCTGCTCGCCACCCTCAAGATCAAGCCTGATCCTCCCCCACCGTTGCCCCTCGGCGAGGCCGAGATCAGCTCCGCCGAGGCCAAGAAGCGTGCTGCCACCCGCGCGGTCCAGCAGGCCATTGACGCTCGCCTCCGCCTCGAGGAGCAGATCGCTGCTGCCGACAAGAAGGTCGACGAAGCTATCAAGAAGGAGGAGGAGGCCCAGCAGGCCGTCGAGCTCGCGGCCCGCAACCTCGCTGCGCGGGTCCTCCCAGTGCCCGAGGCGGCGCCGCCATCGTCGGGTTCGGTGCTGCACATCGGCGCGCTGTTGGAGGACCCAGACTCGGTGCGGCTGGACTTCGGCGAATCCATCGACGTCACGGGCCCCGCCTTCTCGGACGAGGACCGAGCGAAGTTCAGCAAGTTCGCCGAGCAGCAGCGCATCGCTGCCACGGAGCTCCTCCGCAAGGCTTTCTCGGGTGTCGCCGAGCAGGCCACGAAGCTCCAGTCCGAGTACGTCTCCTACGTTAACCAGATTCAGAAGAAGCGCAAGGCGGAGGACGGCCAGGGCGTTGCAGTCCAGCAGCCGTCGGCCCCTCCTGCAGCGGCGGCCAGCCCCCCTGCAGGCGCGGCGGCGGCGGCCAGCCAGGAGCCTCCTGGCCCAGCGGCGCCTGACGCCTCGCCCACGCCCGCTGAGGCCGCCGAGCTGGAGGCCGAGCGGCGCCGGGAGGCCGTCCGCGCCGCCAGCGCGGCCCGCGCAGCTGCCAAGCAGGAGGCGGCGGCAGCGGCCCCCCCGCGGGGGTAGCCTGGTCTCCGACGTCGAGGGCCGCTCCCTGAGGCTGGTGTACGGGAACATCTCGTGCTGGGGGCCCCAGGCGGAGCGCTGGCTGGCGGAGACGCCTGCAGACGTGGTGGTCTTGGTTGAGACCAGGGTGCGGGGTGTTAAGTATACCCAGATGTGCGCGGCCGCGAGGCGGCTGGGCTGGAAGGCGGTTGGCGGAGAGGCCGACGCCACGGAAGCCTCTTCCACGTCGGCGGGGGTGGTGATCTTCGCCCGTGCCCGACTTGGGCTCGCCTCGCTGTGCCTCGAGGCGAACGGAGGCTGGACATCAAGTTCCTGTTCGCGCTGGTGCGTGGCTACCCTCAGGCTGCGCCGCGTCACGCTCACCATCGTTCCGATCTACATGGTCTCGGGCGATGAGTTGGGCGGCCGCAACCTCAAGTTGCTTTCTCAAGTGGGTGCTCGGCTCGGCCAGTTGGCGGGCCCTCTCTTCATCGTTGGGGACTGGCAGTCTGTGTCCAGCGAGCTGGCGACGACTGGCTTCATGGCGGCGCTCGGCCTGGTCGAGGTGCGTTCGGGTCTGCAGGTCACGTGTACTGGCGGCAGGGGCGCGGGGCGTGCCATCGACTTCGCCTTGGTCTCGTCCTTCTTCGTGTCGGCTGTGCATTTTGCAGGGGTCGACGTCTCGGCCCCGTGGGGCACCCACCTCGCGCTCTCCTACAACATCCTGGCCAACCCGAGGTCGCTCAGGGGCTGGTGCGTGGTCATGCCGAAGGCGCTGGACATCTGTGTCGCCTCCAATGAGAGCTACGACCTGGACTGGGACGTCGCCCTCTCTGAGGCCCGAGCCTTTCGCCAGCGCTCCTCTGCCCGTTTTACCTCTAACTTTGAGGCGGCTAGCCTCGCCATTGCCGATCACGATGTGCCGCAGACTGCCCTTCTGCTCGGAAGCCAGCTCGGGGAGTGGGCCCTAGCTCTGGAGTTTGTGCACTGCGCCAAAAAAGGAATCCCTCGCTCGCAGTGGCCTCTGTACGTAGGACGGTGCCAACAGCCTCGCCTCAAGTACGTTCCCATCGTGCCTCGTGCTAGCGACGGCCCTCCTCTCGCTGACCGCCATGCCCGTTTTTGGCAGGCCCTCGCTGTGCAGGCCACCTTGCTTTTGCGTTTGGCTGATCCCGAGGCGGACCCATCCGAGCCGTCTACTCCGCGCGCCCGATGTGGTGAGCAGTTCTGGAGCACGATGCGCGGGCTTGAGGCCCTCCAGCTGCCCCCGCCTTTCGATCCGAACGACGCGGTGGAGAAAGCGATCCTTGAGCGTTGGATCTCGTGGCTCCGCCAGCTTCGCTCGTTGTCGCTCGACAGCCTTCAGCAGATCGCGGAGGAGGCTAAGGAGCAGGGAGTCCAGGCTGCCCAGCGTGCGGCTGCGGCGGCCCGTGCGCGTTGGCGCTCCTGGTTGTCCGACGCTTTGGCGGGTTCTGCTAGCAAAGCCCATAGGCTCCTCCGCGATCCACCCGCTATCTGCCGCGCCGAGCCTGTCTGGGACGGAGAGCCTGCCTCCACGCCCGCTGCCGTGCTGGAGGCGGAAGGCGCCGCGTGGCACGCAATCTGGTGCAAGCATTCGCGGCCCGAGGCGTTGGAGGCCCTCGCGAGGATCCGCCGTGCTGCTCTCTCGTCAGCCTGCTTCGAGCCAGTCTCTCCTGACCAGGTGAGGGGGGCGTTAAAGACCGTTCCTGATCGTCGGGGGAGGGGGATTGACATGATGCCGCCTCGCCTGGTCAAGGATGCGCCGCCGTCTGCCATCGCTGCGCTCGCGGCCCTTCTGACGGCCATCGAGCGCGAGGCCACAGTGCCCTTTCAAGATTTGTTCAACCTCATCGCCTTGCTGGACAAGGAGGATGGAGGCCTGAGGCCCATCGCCTTGCTCAATTTCAGTTACGTGTTGCTATGCCGCATCAGGAAGCCAGAGATAGGCGCCTGGGACCGTGACCAGCACGGGGCCTGGGACAAGACAGTGGGCGGCTCGGCCGATCTTGCGGGGTGGTTGGACGAGCTGGAGGGGGAGCTTGCGCTCCTTGGAGGTTTCGAGGTGGCGGGCGGACTGCTCGACCTTCGGAAGTTCTACGACCTGGTGTCCCTGCCTGACTTGGCGGCGGCGGCCCAGGATTTAGGCTACCCTCTCCGCCTCCTCGCTCTCGCCCTTGATGTCTACCTCGGTCCTCGCCTCCTCACCCTCCAGCGCCAGGTGCACACAGGTATCTTGCCTGGCGGAGGCATCCTCGCTGGCTGTGGCCAAGCTGTCTCGCAGGCGCGTGCCTACCTGCACGCCCCGCTGAAGGCGGCCCACTCCTCGGTGCCAGGGTTGCGCCTGAGGGAGTGGATCGACGATCTCGCCTTCCGCATTTTCGGCACTGAGCACTCGCTCAGCTTGGCCTTTCCAGTGGTGCTGCGCGCCCTCTTTACGGGCCTGCGCAGGCTGCGATGCGAGTTTTCCCTAGGGAAGTGCGGCCTCATGGCCTCTTCTGCTGCCATCCGTGCCTTGCTGCCCGCGTGGGCGTCGGCGGCCGAGGTCGGGGCTGGTGGCCTCAGGACTGTTCGTGTTGCCCGCGACCTCGGCCACGACACAGCTTTCGGTGCCTCGCGCTCCGTGAAGGTGCGCAAGAAGCGTTTCATGAAGGGCAGGCGCGCCGCTCTCAAGATTTCGGGACTGGTCAGATCCGCGCCGCGAGCCTCACGCCTTTTCGTCTCCAATGCCCTGCCGAAGTCGGTGTGGGCGCCCGAGGTGCACGGGCTGGCGCCGACCATGCTGAAGCAGCTCCGTGGTCAGGCGCGTCTCGCCAGCAAGTGTCCTCAGCGCGGCACGTGCGCTACTGTGGCCATTCGCATCAGTTTTGGGGCGCGGCGCGACCCGCCCATCTGGTACCTGCGGCACATTGTAGGAGCGTTCTACTTTCGAGTCCTTGGAGAGGATGGCCTCGCTGCGAAGGTCAAGCGAGGATGGGACGCGTCCCTGGAGCGGGTGGCGCGAGGCTGGAACCTCGTGCGCGGCCCGCTATCAGCTTTTCAGGCCTCTGTCATTTCAGCTGGCTGGCAGTGCCCGTCCTTGTCCAAGCTGGTTGAGCCAGACGGGCAGGAGTGGGAGCTCTTCGCCACCTCCGTCGCCCCTGTCACCAGCCTCCTCGCGGCTCTGGAGCAGACTGCTGAGAACGCGGTTTGGCGCCAGGCGGCCAAGCACCTTGACGGGGGTGGGGCGGAGGAGGGCGTTTGGTGGCAGCACGTGCCTGCACTGGCGGAACGGCTGGAGAAGGAGTCCCAGCACAGTCTTGCCAGCCTTGTTCGCCTTGTTGCATGCGGTGGCTACTGGACGGAGGAGCGTCGTTTCCAGGCTGGCTACCGCACGGACGACTTGTGCCAGCGCTGCCACCGCTCCCGTGAATCCAGCCGTCATCGTTTCTGGGAATGCATGTGCAATTTCATGGAGAGGGACTGGGCGCTCTCGGTCGGTGTGCCTCCCCCTCCTGAGGCCGTGGTCTCCTCCAACCACCTTCGCAGCCAGGCGTTGGAGGAGATCGACCTCTCCCCAGTCTTCTGGTGCCGCGGGCTTGTGCCCCTCGCCTGGCTGAACCTCCCGCCTCCCCCCGACGAGCGTGGTCATCGTTGGCTGCGCTGCGGCGTCGGGGCGCTGCCAGGGGGGATCTACGCTACCGACGGTGCAGGTGGAGCCTGGTCGTCTCAGCCCCTGCTACGCCGTGTGGCGTGGAGCTTTGCTCGCCTTGACGACGGCCAAGGTCTGGACTGGGATTCTGGCTGCACGGGCTTGGTGGACGGCCCTGTGCAAACGGTGCCCCGCGCTGAGCTCCTGGCCATTGTGGAGTGCGTCAGGGCCGTCCACCCTGCTGCCGATTTCAAGCTGTATTCCGACCACGTGAATCACGTGAATGCGATAGCGCGCGGACGCCGCCACTGCTACAAGCTCGAGCACGCGGACCTTTGGCACGATCTTTTCTCGCTGCTTGACGCCCGCGAGGGCCGCTTCTCCCTCCTGCACGTGCCCTCGCATCTTGCTGAGGACCCCGCTAAGTTTGCGCGTCTCGGCCACTCTGTGCTGCCCGAGGCCATTTTTCTCAATGCGGTGGCCGACGGGCTCGCCGAGGAGCGGTCTGAGGAGGCTCAGCTGGATCCAGACGTTGCCCGTCGCGCTTTGGACCTGGTGGAGCAGGCCGAGGCCATCCTGCTCCGCAATGCCACTCTCTGTGCTGCCGCCGCCTCCGTCCCCAAGAGCCCTGGCCGTGAGGTTACCAAACCCAAGGTTTCTAGGGCTCAGAGGAGGGAGGAGCTGCTTTCGGGCTTTGCGGCTCGTTCCCAGCATGCCTTTGCGCCGAAAGCTTTCGGCTGGTGCTGCAAGAGCTGTGGCCGATCGGTCAGGCGCTCTCAGAGCCGCGCCCTCCACCTGCTGCGTTCCTCTTGCTCGGCCCTGCGGCCGCCGCCAAGCCCGCCTCCCTGCCGCGTGGAGCTGCAGCAGCGAGGCCATCTGTGGGAGGGGGACGGGGCGGTCGAGGACGGGGGGGGGGACGGTGTGGAGCCTCTCGAGCCCGCGGTCGAGCCAGAGGCGGACGCAGCTCCCGCGCTTCGGGTCTGCGTCAGGCTGCCGCGCTCGTACGCGGGGCTGCCGCCCATCGACGAGCAGCTTTTTCGGTCTCTGGGGATGCCTGATCCCCCCTCTCGCTTGCCTCCTGGCACGGGCATTGCTGGACATGTGCCGCATGCCTCTCACTGTTTGTGGCGCAAAGGCGCCATCACTTTCTGCAGCATATGCGGGCGCTACGCTGACTCCAGGCCCTCGCGACTTCTGGAGGAGTGCGAGGCGGCGAGGCACGGACCTTTCGCGCTGACCAAGGCGCAGCTCACTGCCCTGCTGCGGCTGCGCAAGGGCCTCCCTCCCAGGCCTGGGGTCCGCGAGTGGCCCTCGGCGGGTGTTTAGCCCGCAATTTTTGTCTGCCAGCCTGTCGCCCGGCCTTTTTGCTCTCGCGATTTGGGTGTGCGCCTGGCTGCCGCGCATTGCAAAAACTCCTCGTTCCTCCCCATCCTCCTCCTCCTCCTCCTCCTCCTCCTCCTCCTCCTTACCCTCCTCCTCCTCCTCCTCCTCCTCCTCCTCCTCCACCTCCTGCTCCTCCTCCTCAATCTCCTCCTCCTCCTCCTCGTCCTCGTTCTTTTCGCTCCTCCTCCTCTTCCTCCTCCTCCGCCTCCTCCTCCTCCTCCTCCTCCTCCTGATCATCATCATCATCATCATCATCATCATCATCATCAGCAGCAGCAGCATCATCATCATCATCATCATCACCATCACCATCACCATCACCATCACCATCACCAGCATCAGCATCAGCATCAGCATCATCAGCATCAGCATCATCAGCATCATCAGCATCATCATCATTGTCATCATCATCATCAGCATCATCATCATCATCATCGTCATCAACATCATCATGATCAGCATCATCATCATGATCATCATCATCATCATCATCATAGCACCATCGTCATCATCAGCATAATCATCCTCATCCTCATCATCTTTATCATCATCATCATCAGCAGCAGCATCATCATCATCCTTCTCCTTCTCCTTCTCCTTCTCCTCCTCCTGCTCTTCCTCCCCCTCCTCCTCCTCTTCCTCGTCCTCCTTCTCCTCATCCTCCTCCTCCTCCTCCTCCTCCTCCTCTTCATCAAATCATCATCATCACCATCATCATCATCATCATCATCATAAGGTCATCATCATCCATCACATCATCATCATCATCATCATCATCATCATCATCATCATCATCAATCATCATCATCATCATCATATTCCTCCTTCTCCTTCTCCTTCTCCTCCTCCTCCCATTCTCCTTATCCTCTTCCTCCTCCTCCTTCTCCTCCTCCTCCTCCTCCTGCTCCTCCCCCTCCTCCTCCTCCTCCTCCTCCTCCTTCTCCCCCTCC